AACCACCAGCCTTCTGGTTAGCAGTCAAGTGCCTTAGGCACTATGCTACATTAGTCAATCACAAAGGGACAAATATTGTATGAGAATAGTATTGTAAAATGTCAAGAAAAGGGTTTCACAGAAAATAGAAATATTATTTGAAGGGAGGGTAAAACCACTAACTAGAGGGTAGACATATTAACTTGGGTGAGGGAAAGTTAAAAAAAAAAAAAAAAAGTTAATAATAAAAAAGAGAGAGAGAGAGAAATAGAAGAGAAAAAAAGAAAATAAAAGAAAGCATCCCTTCACTGTGCAACTAAGAAGTTATTTGATTTTCTACCCTACCTCTAAAAGTCAAACTCTGAGCCCAGGACATTCCAAAAAGAAGTTGCTTTTCTCCAGTCTCATTTAACACCAACTTCAGGACTTGGGCATGTGTTTGAGCATCTTAAATTCATCCAATAAATGTGTTCTAGGAGAGGCTCTATTTCCAGAATCAAATTTACCCCAGGACACAGAATTCAAGGGCCTTGAGTGGGTCCTACTTGCTGAATTTTCTACACATTCCTCCTACAGGGCACTGACTACACTGCAATCTAATTCCTCCCCCATGAGAAATTCCCTGAGCCAAACTTCTTCAAGAACAAACGTTTGTTTCTGGTTTCAAGTATGCATATTTACCAAACACTTGTCTTTTCTTGGGGACATTTAAAACAGTAACTCTCCCCACTCCATAGCCATCTTTCTTTGTTATTTTTCTCCTTGGCTCTTGTCACCTTTTATTGCATTATATAATTAATTTACTCATTTATTTTTCATATTGTCCCCTGTTCCCGTAAGAATGCAAGTCCTACATGGCAGCCATCTGGCCTTGGCTCACAGCTCCATGTTAGCATTCAGAAGACTGTCTGACACTCAAAGGGCTGAATATATATGTGGGATATGAATGACTACCCAAGACCAACAGTCATGCTTCCAACATTCTCTCCAAATTATTTTGCATTTCTATATTCTATTTTTCATCTCATCAGTCTCATATATTTCAAAGTATATTTTAGATGTAGCTTCCCCTCCCCTAAAGAGCTCTGGTGGTACAGTGGTTAAAGTACTAGGCCACTAACCAAAAGGTCAGTGGTTCAAACCTACCAGCCATGCTCCATGGGAGAAAGATGAGGCAGTCTACTTCTGTAAAGAAACCTTATGGGACAGTCCTACTCTGTCTTATAGAGTCACTATGAGTTGGAATCGACTCAATGACAATGGGTTTGGTTTTGCTTTTCCTTTCCCCTCTGCCTCTTATGAGAGTTCAGTTTAGTCCCTGAGGAGTGCAAACAGTTAACATGTGGCTGCTAACCAAAAAGGTGGAGGTTCAAGTTCACTCAGAGGTTCCTTGGAAAAAAAGTCTTGTGATCTACTTCTAAAAAATCTACCATTGAAAACCCTGTGGAGTGCAGGTTTGCTCTGACACATAGGGTCACCATAAGTTGGAGTCAACTTCAGGGAAAATGATATTTAACTTTACCTATCATTTCATTCCTTCAGAACTGAAAGCTCCGTTACCAATCTCAATACCAATGGGATGTACCATTTCAGGTGTTCACATCCATCTCTGAGTCTATAAACAAAGCAATTTATTCCAGTCTTCAAAATGTGTCACAACAAGAGACTTTAATACCAGACAAAAGATTCATTAACCAAGTACGTAGTGAAAATAGAAAAATGTTGGACCCTTCAAGTCCTGAGAAATCCTAGAGTGTTCCCTGTAGCTCTGGTAGGAGATCATGGGAAGAGAATCACTAAAAGGCTGGGCACAGACAAAGAAGCTGATTATCCTGGAGGACAAGGACTCCTTCAAGGCAGCTGGACTAGCAAGAGCAGCTGATCTCCTGCTCAGAGTATCTACCTCTGGTTTTTCCTTTGGGAGGACAGAGAGGCCAGGGGTGGGGTTTTGTTCTTAGTCATGCTGTCTTGGAAACTAATTAAACACCAGCTCCCAAGTCTTCAAGTACTAACTCCCTCAAATATCCTTGTTACATTTTTTTTTCTTGCTTTGAAACACCTTTGTCATTTTAGAAACATCATTACAATAATGATTTTAAGGTGTTGCTTATAAAATCCCTGACATGTTGGAATGGGTCATGAGGATAAAGGCCGTGGAGTTGGATCCAACGCATAGTGACCCCTCCTGGGGTTTCCAAGGCAGTATCACTAGAGAAGTAGATTGTCCAACCTTCCTTCCGAGGAGTGGTTGTTGGGTTTGAACCACCAGCCTTCTGGTTAGCAGTCAAATAATTGCCTTAGGCACTACACTACCAGTGCTCCCTCTGCACAGTAAGGACAGTGTTTCTGGATCCTTCTCTACAATGAGAGGAGTGATATTACCTAGATCCTGCCTATCAACATCCAATCAGTCTATGATTCCATTCCCTGGTGCCATTGCAACCCTAAGTGTAGCCCAACTTGCTGACACTTAGAGGATCATTGGGTTGGGTGTATACTAGGGTGTTACACAAGTTAGTTAAGAGTGTCTCAGCTGGGGCTTAAGCAATTCCTTTTGTTGAGTCCAATGCCCAGAACCATGCCAGCCCTCACCTTCCTACATTTGGATGACACATCACTTCCACCCACCCCCACTCAACAAATATCAAGTACAAGCCCAATGTACCTTACCACAGAGCCATAGATGCCAGAGCTGCTAGTAACTCATCCTTGAATGTTCTCTTCATATTACCATTGTGAAAATCCCATCACTCCTTCTGGGTCCATCTTCTTCTGGAAGTCATCCCTGCTGACACCATATCCCCTCAGCATTTCTCCAATATGGCTCATCTGCACAGGAACCTGAAGCCTTCTAATGCCCATTGGCCTTGCACAGTTGCTTGTTTCCTTGGTTTGGTTTGGTTTCTAATGAGCACTTTTATGATCTTGGCTCTAAAGTGAATACTTCAATTAAGCTTCTCAATAACCTATGATATAGGCATGATAGTCCTTATCTTACATATGAGAAAGTGAGGCATACAGAGGTGAGAAATTTGAGGTAAAGTACATTGGGCTTGTATTCGGTATGTGGTGGGTGGAGACGGGTGGAAGTCGTGTGTCATCCATGCTCTCACAGATTGAGCAATACATGTCTACCACTTCTGAGATCTGTGGAGTATGCTTTTATGGCTCACATACCACATACCCACTGCCTCCAAGGTCAGTGGCACATCCTCCAGCAGATCAGCTGCCTTACACCTACTGCATCGATGGTATGCACTGCAGCAGTCAGGGCACCACAGAAATAATGCCTCTGCAGTAGTGGTGAGCCCTTCTACAGTCAGGGCACCACAGAGAAGTCATCTCTGTGGGTGGTGGCAAGAGTTTATGTCTGCTGCAGTGCTGCTTCATTTTTCCTTTTCCCTTTATTGTTTTCCTACCCATTTGCTCCCTTTTCTTCTTCCCTCTTTCCCCTCCCTTTTTTCTTTCTTTTTCTTTTCATTCTCTCTTCCCTCTCTTCTTTTTCCCATAAATGGGGGGCAACAATCCAACGCAGCCATACCCACCATACCTACCAGGCAACACCTCTACCCACTCCAGAATTACTGGGTCAGTGACAGATGACAGCCAAAACCCACCAGCCCACCCTCAAATACATGACCAGCAAACAAAGACTCAGGCACATGCAATGATCTGTTTCAAATCCACCCAGAAAAACATGGTGATCACCTCAGTGCTGCCAAACTAGCTTCCAAAGTAATACCCCGATTCCTACCCAAATTTATTGATTCAAAACAAAAAGTCAGCGTGAAGCAAACCAACATAAAATATAATAACACCACAATATCTTGAAGACAATAGACAACTTCAAATCACACACCAGAAAACAGGACAAGATGGTGCAAGCAAGTGGCCAAAACTCAGGGCCAGAATTATATTTAGGACCTTTCAACAGATTAAGAAATTGATCAAGGAAAACAAAGAAAAAAACAAGGAAATCATAGAAAAAAAAATCAAGAAAATATAAACAAATCCCTAGAATTCAGGAAAACAATACAAGAACAAATTGACAAAATAAACAATTAGAAACCTTACAAAAAGAGCAACTAGAAATCCGGAAGATTAACACTAAAACATCTGAAAAACATATGCATTAAAAGGACCAATAAAAACAAAACCAGACCCATTGCCATCAACTCAATATTGATTCATAGCAATACTATGTTGTTGTTGTTTTTATGTGCCGTCGAGTCGGAGGCGACTCATAGTGACCCCTCCTTCAGTTTCCGAGGCAGTATCACTACGGAAGTAGATTGCCCCATCTTCCTTCCGAGGAGTGGCTGGTGGGTTTGAACCGCCAGACTTCTGGTTAGCAGTCAAGTGCCTTAGCCACTATGCTACCAGAGCTCCCAGCAATACTATAGGACAGAGTAAAACTGCTCCATAGGGTTTAGAAGGTTGAAATCTTTACTGAAGCAGACTGCCACATCTTTCTCCCATGGAGTGGCTGTGGGTTTCAACTGTCACCCTTTCAGTTAGCAGCTGAGCTCTTAACCACTGTGCCACCAGGGCTCCATATTAGAAGGGAAAAGTAGAAGAATTGAATCAATGGAAGACAGAATCAGTGAACTTGAAAACAAATCCCTTAACACAAATCTATTAGAGGAACAAAAAAAAAAGATGATGAAGTCTGAGAATTATATGGGGACAGCATAAAGAGGAATAACTTTTATGTGATTAGAATTTCAGTATAGGAAGAGATTTAAAAAAAAAAAAAAAAGAAATTAAGTACAGAGAAATGTGTCAAAGATTTGTTGGTAGAAAACTTCCTTGATATCATGAAAGATGAGAAGATACCCATTCAAGAGGCTTAATGAACTCCAAACAGGACAGACTCCAAAAGAAAATCACCAAGATATATCATGATAAAATTTTTCAAAAACAAAAACAAAGAAAGAATCATGAAAGTAGCCTATGAAAGATGAAATGTTACCTACAAAGGAGAACCAATGAGACTAAGCTCTGACTTCTTGGCAGAAACTATGCAGGTAAGATGGTAATAAGATGACAAATAAACAAATACACAACTCCATGATAATAATAGGAGAATTTAATGCCAATCAAGCAATATTGTCCCTTAAATATGATGATAAAACTAGATCATTTTCAGACAAAGAGAAATGAAGGGAATTTGTGAAAATCAGTCCAACTTATAAGAAATGCTAAAGGGAGTCTTTGGGACAGAGAAACATCAATCAACAACCTGAAATTAAGACAGATGACAATATCAACAAGAAACCAGTTGATAAAGAATTTTCCAAAATAAAATAAATGTACAAAACTGAAAAATAGAGAACTTCAATCTGTAAATGACAAAAACTGCAAAGCAAAAAGAGGTAATAAAGGGTACAGCTACAGAATGTCCATCCAAATGGAAAGGAAGCAAAGGTGATATCAATATAAACAGACTGTTTTAAACTTAGGAAGATAATAATAAATTGCAGAGTACCCACAAAGAAAATTAATAAAACTTTTAACAATAAATAAAAAAGAAAGTCATAAGGACTCATGAAAACAAAATCAATAGAAACAAAGGAAATGAAGAGTTTTAAGCTAAATGAACTCAGCACAGAAAAGTATGTGGAACAAAGAAATGATCAGCACCACCACCACAACAACAAAGACAAACTGACAGCAGTAAATTCAAACTTATCAATGATTACATTGAATGTAAGCGAATTAAATGCACCAGTCAAGAGATAGGGACAGAATGGATATAAAAACATGACCCATCAATAATTTGCTGCCTACAAGAGACATACCTTAGACACAAAGGCAAAATTAAGCTAAAAATCAAATGATGGAAAAACATATCAAACAAAAGGTATCCAAGAAAGAGCAGGAGGAGTACTGTTAATTTCTGATAAAACAGATTTTAAGGCAAAAGAGACAAGAAAGGACACTATATAATCATTAAAGGGTCACTCCAAAAAAAAAAAAAAAGGACAAAACCATAATAAATATTTATACACCTAAGGAAAAAGCTCCAAAATACATAAATCAAATTTGAACAGAATGGAAAAAAGAAATCCACAACTCCACACTAATAGTCTCACTCTACTCACTGCTGTCGAGTTGGATCTGACTCTTAGCGACCTCTCCTTGGGTTTCCGAGGCAGTATCACTATGGAAGTAGATTGCCCAAACTTCCTTCTGAGGAATGGCTGGTGAGTTTGAATCACCTGCCTTCTGGTTAGCAGTTAACTGCTTTAGGCACTATGCCACAGGAGCTCCCACAATAATAGTAGGAGACTTTAATATAACATTTTCCTTTTTCCTTTCTTTTCTTTTCTTTTTTCTTTCTTTCTTTTTTTTTTTTTTTTTTTTTACCTTTTTATTGTGATTTGAGTGAAAGTTTACAGGGTAAATCAGTTGTCCTTTTAACTTCATATACACTAAGTTTTATAATATTGATTGCAATCCCCACAATGTTACAGCATTCTTCCCACTTTCTCCATGTGTTTACCATTTTCACTTGTCCTTCTTTCCTATCAATTCCTGCCTTCTAAGCTTTATACCTGGGAAAACACTGCCATCTTGATTTTGTATGGTTAATTGTTCTAAGGAACGCATACTTCCTTGGTGTTATTTATCACCTTATAGTTATAATTATTGTTTGGTTAAATGTTGAGCCTAAAGAGTAAGTTCAGTTCCAGGCCTAAAGAGTGTCTAAGGGCCATTGTCATGGGGGTTCCACCAGTCTCTATCAGGCCAGTAAACCTGGTGTTTTTAATTATTTTGAGTTTTGTTCCACATTTTTTCCAGCACCTCCTATTTTGATCCTTTTCAGACAAGTAAGCAGTGGTGGTTGGGCAGTAGGTAGTTTTACTTCTTCTGGTCTCAGGATCATGGAGGCTGTACCTACCATTGTCCTGTAGTCCTTTGGACAAATCATTTCCTTGCATCTTTGGTTTTCTTATTCTTATTTGCTCCTAGACAGGGACAGAACAATAGTTGTACCTTAGATGACTGGTTACAAGCTTTTAAGACTCTAGTCTCTACTCATCAAAGTAAAATGTAGAATATTGTCTTTGTGCACTGTGTTATATCAATTCACCTTGATATCACCTGAGACTATGGTCCTGAGCCCCTGGCCCAGCAACTCATTCCTTCAAGGTGTTTGGTTATGGCTGAGAAGATTCCATAACTTTGCTCCCTGTATGCTCTACTGTATTTATGAATATATTTGCAGCACATATAAATGAATATGGAGGAATATAATTTGTCAAGCCTATATCTACTCATGGGTGCAACAAACCATTTTCAATGAAGGACAGAAAAACAAGAAAGAAACTCTACAAAGAGAAAATCAAAACAACACAATCAACCAACTTGACCTCAGAAATTTCATACAGAAATGTCACCTAACAATAGTACAATATGCATTGTTTTCCAGTGCATATGAATCATTCTCAACAACAGACCATATATTAAGTCACAAAGAAAGCCTTTAATAAATTTTAAAATATCAAATAGTAAGTACAAGCATCTTCTCAGATCACAATGCTATAAAATTTGAAATCAACAATAAGAATACAGTAAACAAATCAAATACATATAAACTAAGTACATTCTGCTTTAAAAGTATCAGGTAATAGGGGAGTTCTGGCAAGATGGCGGACTAGGCAGAAGGATTGCACAGACCCTCTTCAACAAAGAAAAGGGAAACCAATTAACACAGACACAGAAGATAATCGTGGACCCCT